CTTCATCCATCTTCCCTCCCCCTCACACCAATCATATTTTATGTCAAGGGACAGTAAGGAAGTCCCATGTATATTTCAGCTAAATATCTCAGCTCGTCTGCATTGCAAAACTCTTCAATATTTGACATTTAGAGTGAAATATTGATTTCACCAGCAAACTATTCACCAGTAAAATTGATTTTAATCAAGATGAAGCCTGCGGTGCTTCTATAGTGTTTTGACATTTTTATTAATACACAGTATCGGGGTAAATTAACTTCATATTGTCCAGTTGACCTCATGAAGTGATATATACATATTCTATTGGCCCCGTCATGCTTTCTTCCCCTTTCTTCAATTCATTAGTATGAAAACATTATTTCTGACAACCAGCACAAACATAAAAAGTAAAATAGCACAGTGGAGAGACATTTTGAACTCAATAATGTTACACATTGACGATGACACGTCTCCTAACAATCTTAGGATTAAAGCCCACCATTGCATGCAGGGCCTATGTAGCAGGAACCCAATCCCCCCCCCCCTCTCGCCACACACACACACGTACACACCTCCTCAGAGAGATGGATGGCATGGATTCGCTTCCCTTTCTTAGGCCAGCATCCAGGTGCACAACAGCTGGGGAACCCAGAGGGAGGCCGCCGGGTGAGCAGGGATGGGGGAGTAAGAGGACCAGGGACGCGGGGATGGAAGCGGAGCCAGAAGGAGTTTTTTTCTGCAACATATTACCGTAATGGGCAAATTCATTTATCAGAGAAAAATCTAATATGATGAATAATGTCTTGTCAAGTTAAAAAAACAGCTTCTCTAGCAGCCAGTTATCCAGAAATCCATTTGAATCCAGGCATGGACATTTGAAACAAACATTTTGTTTTTATCCCTTGAGACGGAAATATGTTGTAAATTGTTTATGCCACATTTTTTTCTTATTTAGCTTGGTCATCATTCTGTGTCATTATCACATAAACGACTCATTTCAGTGTGTGAAAGTATGAGTGTGTGCTGGAGGGAAAAGCAGGATAAGCTGCTTCAGAGGGGACTTAACTTGGTGAGGAGGCCCCCCGCTTGTATCGGCCCAAACTGCACGAGGTCCTTCTGAAGCCTCCTGGGGTCGGCACACCTCCAACCATGTCTTGTTGTCCGAGAGTTTTTCCAGACGGTTCTCAGACACCTGCTGCTCCGTTCTCATTTATATACCCTGACTATTTAACTGGATAATACTTTCTCTCCTTTGCAACTCTCACTTCTCTTCCGTTTCTCTTCCATGCAGCTTCTGTCAGTCGATTCTTCCCTTTGCCACAGCTCACCGGTGTGTCCTTCCTGTCATGGTGGAAAAGGCCTATCCTGTGCATTCCGCTACACTTGTAAAAGGCATTACTCAAATATTTTCCGATTTTTGATAAATAATGAATCGAAAAGCAAACAATCGTTAGTTGCAGCCCTAATGACTTGTATGTTTTTAAAGTCTCTGTCTTTCAACATCGCAGTCAAGCAGGAAACAAATGTATCACTGATCAAACTAAGCGGGCAGACGATGCCCCGGCTATCCATATGCTGCGAGGTTTATATGAGGCTTCATGCGGCGTCCATAGGAGCAGTGCGTGTGGTATTTGAATGTCATGGGACGGATCCACTGAGCAGGAAACAATAGGGGTTCAAGATGACTGATGGAGTGAGATGTCCCACTGTGTGTCGTGGCAGACGGTTTCTGGATGTGATATAAAGTATATTGTATATTGAATGTAGTGATGGATGGAGATCAGCTTATGCAAGGGGGAGTGGGGGGTTGCCCAGTGTGAGCTAAGTGTATTACCTCGTACAAATATGTAAATAAACCTTTCCAATAAATATGAATGTGTTACCATACTTCCTCACAGACCCCACACAGAAGCTCATCCACTCCGAGCAGTGTCACGCGTGTGCGTGGGTCCCGTATCTCGGCGTGCCATCCATCATAGGTAAAGCCGCAGCACGCAGTGTGTTTGTCCTCAGCTCCTCATTCAGTCCTCATTAGCCATCAATCACCTCCTCTCTGCTGGCTGCCTGCATGGGATGAGACCTCCGGACTTCACATGCCGGCAAGATGTTCCCCTGAGCAGCACACGCTCAGACACACACACACACACACACACAATGGAGTGAAAGCTCACACTTGCTTAGCCTGTGAGGTCAATGTCAAATAGTGAGAGGTCATGGTCTCTGTGAGAATGCCTGAACAATTTGATTTACAGACCACTGTCATCACCGCGAGGGCAGCGTCACCACTTTTCACAAGGGTTCAATGATTAAATGACGAAATCCATCTATTACAATTGTACTTATCTCCTGTTGCTAAACAAGAAGTTTCCATTGAGAACATTTGAAGTGGTAGAGCATGGGTGGCACTGCTTTAAACAGAATCAGAAATTCCTCGCTTTTTATTTCTCTATAAATTGAACAAGTATGTCTGTCTGTGACTGCTTATCCATGTTTGCGTCCATTTATTTTGTGAAACAACTGTGGCTGTTTAATGTAGAGAAACTGCATGGCGGAGTGCAGGAGGCTGCCTTTGCTTAGGGGGAGATTGAAAGAGGAGGGAGCGAGTTCAAAGAAAAAAGGAGAATCCTTTCGGTGAGTTTACACTATTCCACGGGGACACGAGGAAGCAAAGCATATTTTTGCTCTCCGCCGACCTGCCGGCCAGAGTCTGGAGACTATTGCTTGACATTGAAGGCTACATGGGCTTTTGTCCTTGGCCTGTGTCACGGCTGAATACGATGTCCTGTGCTGCTGAGGAGACCAAATGTAAAGTTGGGGCGTTGCTCACACACACAGCTACAGTGTTTGCAGTATAATTGGTCTCTCATTCTGACTTTTGTCCGTTATTGCACAGCAGTAGTCCCATTGTGTTGCGAGTCCGATGAGTGACCTTCCTCAGAGTGGTTTAGTGGGTCACTGTACGCTACAAATGTTTTATCATATGATTTCACACGGCCATGAATCATTTTGAACTTATTATTTTTGTAGGGTTACTTTTAAACAAATGCCACTGATAAAAATAAAAGCCTTCGCGTCCTTTACCCCTGACTTCCTCACGCTTCCCCTCCTCCCCTCTTTTTTCTCTCTCATTCCAGTTCCTCCATCTCTTCCTCCAGCTCGCCTCATCCATCCTCTGCTACTCTGTCTCTTTTGCTGCTATTTTTTCCCCTTCTCCTCCTCACTGTTCCCTACGCGCATGTGAGCGTGAGGGGGAGTCCTGACACGTGGGCCCAGTTTCTTAATAATGCCATTCAGTGAGAACACTATTAGCAGATTACCCTTGGCCCAGGGCAGCCTAACCATGTGCAGGAACTAGATAACCTTGTGTTCAGTAATTTAATATCAACACTTCCCCTCTTTTCTTACCACGCTTTACAACACACAAATACCCTGCTTCTCCCCTCCGGTGCTATTTCCCGAAAGAGGGAGACAGAGAGAGGATTACAAGATAGGGACTTCTTGAAAATGCCTTTCCTCCGCTGAGAACTGTGGCAAATTGTCCCTTGTCGATGGATGTGAAAAAATACATAAACAGGCTTACAGTGAAAATTCCATCTGATTTAATGCAGTGAATTTAGCTCCAGCAACATCAAAGGAGCCGCCCATCTTTTTAAGGTCCCTACATCGTCCCCCCCCCCTCCTCCTCCTAGTTCTTCTCCTCAGGGGTTATCCCGGTCCCGACACTTACACCACCTATCAGGCCAATATGAAACACGCAGAGGAAATCTCTAGTCACACAGCGTGATTTGGTAAGAGCGGGTGGGGGAAAGGCAGAGGCCGACTGGGAGCGTGTCAGTTAAATCTACCAGTTAAAGGAGCAAGCTGTTAGGAATCAAATCCAAACTTTATCGCCCCCACCAGCTGAATCCCCATCCCGCATTAGCTGCTTATTTCCCACTTTGTCCGGCTGCAGCTCTTTTTTCCGTCGCCCGTGAGCCAAAGCGAGGGCCAGCGCCGTCCTATCACTCACCGGCACTCTCCCACGCCGGCATTACCGCGCCTTTATCTCATCTCCAGCAGGCCGGCACGGCCGGGCCTCCTCGCGGTCCTCCGGGCTACTTTACTAATAACCTCTTCCTTATCAGTCACCGTGCACCTCTGCCTGTGATCAAAGAGCCAATTAATGGAGCGGGGAAAGGTGACGCATTCAAATAATGGAGACAGCTGTTTTTCTCTGTTTGAGAAAATCCATTTTGTATTGTTATCGGCTCCAAGCAGCTCCGCGCGACCAGCGCGTAATTCAAGTCACTGTCTGCTTCTGCCTCGCTTGATAAGAGAGAGTGAGAGAACACAGGGAGAGAGAAGAGAGAGTGGGGGAGATGAGCGGGAGAAGAAAAGAGACCTGGTCCCAGTGAACTTCCTGCAGAGGAATATGACAGCAGTCCAACTCATCCCTGAGCTTTATCAACTCCAAAGTGGTTCCACACAGAGATAAAAATGGGTTCGGGGGCATGAAAAGGCAGAGCTTCCAGGGCTCAGCGGCTGCTTTGTGACTTCACTGTCATTCGTTTGGAAGCTCTTTGAGAAGATCCAACAGAGCCTTGGCTAGTTAGGAGGTTCATTGTGTTGTGTGGCAGAGCAGCATAGAATCTTAACACCTTTGTTATAATAACTATCACTGAGCCCTGAGTCCTTTCTGATTGAGTCTGATGGAATGGAAGTCTGTGGAAAAAAGTATAGCCTACAACTCCCGGATTATGTCAATAAATATGGGTAACATGAGCATGTGGGCTATAGATTCAAGTTTTCTTTAATTATGCATGATGTTCATTTTGGTAAAATAGATGGTGAAACAAGGTACGTTTTAGGGTGTGCTTACTCGTGATTGACAGGTCAATACCGATACCAGAACAGCAAATCCAAGATGGTGATTGAACTGAAACATAGTAACAGCTGTTGTCATGACAACATGGATGGGGTGTTGCTAATCTTGCTGCTGCTGCTGCTGATGTAACAAAATAACTGAAGTCTACATCTCCGAAGGCAGGTATTAACATATTTATTACACCGTTAAGAGAACAACAATACCAGAATTATACTGCAAAGTTTCACAGACTGACAGACCATAGTTTACAGCCCAAAAGAAAAAAAAAAAGAAACAAAAAGAAAAGAAAAACAAGAAACCACAGTTCTGACATAGTAGACTGGAAAGCTCTCTAAAGACACTGACTCTGGGCGATGAAGAGACCGCCCAGCGTCAGCCTACCACTAACCTGTGGTTTTCATGTCTCAAATAAGTATTGCACAACAACTTCAAATCATTTGAGCTCTTTTTTTTCACAATAGATGTTCTCAAGGGAACCCATCCCACCCCCAGAAAATGAAATAAAACTCCCACCCTTGAAGTTCACCTCACACCCACAGAGTAATGCTACGGCCTTCACTGTTCACTGCTGGCCCCACACATTTCCTCAAATGTCCCTTGCTAAGTGGGAAATCTTAATAACATTTCCTCTCCTTTGTGAAAAACCAGCATGTCTAAGTTTTGGCCGTATCTTTTTCATTTTTAGTTTTTGCCTTTTGTAAGTTCAGTCAGAATCGTTACCCCGCTGACAAGTCGGCTTAACGTGTTCACAACTGAGAAAAGCGAGGAGGGTAAACAGGAGAGAAAAAAGAGCAAGAAGAACATTTCTTATCCGTCACTTGTATCATTGAAATAGGAATCGACAACACTTTTCTTTAAAATTAGCAAATTTTTAAAATTCTGTTCAAACAGTTCACCCATGATGTACTCTAAAAACGCCACAGGCATAAAGCAACGTAACAAAAGTGTTTAACTTTTTTTTTTCTTCTCATTTCTATTCATTTATTTTTCATTTATTTATGAGGTCTGCATTGTTACCAAGTAGTGATATGGTTTTGCAGCTGTATGAGCTTCGACTTTGGGTTTTTTATTTTCCTGTTCTCGTGTGCCCATTTGGTTTAGACTAGACCAGTATCAGCGACTGATGCTCTTATCGTGCTGTAAGAGGTAGAGTGAGACTTGTTTGCCACCGAGGAATTTGTAGCAAAACACACAGAGAGGAGGGGAGAAAGAAAAAAAAGGAAAGAACAAAATGTGAGCAAAAATGTTAAGTCGTTTTTTTTCCCGTTTTTTTTTTCAAACCCAGGTTTTACCCTGATATCGATAAACACATTATTTGTTGTATACTTTCAAATACACTAGTGTTAAAACAGCTGAGCTGTTTCTTCACAGCTTCTGAGAAGTCGTTAGTCGGGTGTCAGACACCTTTTTGGATTGTTTAACCCATTAGTCAAAAATGCAGGTGTGTATTTCATTTAGACAAGAAGTGGGGGGGGGGGATGAGGAAGTACAGAGGCAGCAAACAGCCCAGAACCTTTGTGGGCCCCCTCTTGTTTCTTGAGGTCAGAATTTGTAACGCGCTTCTGTGTAGCACCAAGGTGGATGGTGTGAAGAGCCTTTGTGTGCGTCAGGGTAAGAGGTCTGTTCGATTTACATTGAAGGTTTACAACAAATTTGTGGCAAAAAAATGACATACTCCGATATAAATAAATAAAACAAACGGCATTGGTGTGAAACTCCAGTCTCACGTTCACTCTTTAAGAATAAAGAACTATACTGCTTAAAGCTGAAATGGGCACTTAATCTCACATTTGTGTAAAGAGGAAATGCAAAAAGATTTTTCCTCGAAATTGGTCACATAAGTCGTCAGTGTTCATTAGTTATTATTGCTCCAGTGGAAATGTAACACTGTTCTGAAAATGTCCATTATGTTTATTTCAAACGTTTTCTTTTCAAAATGTAAGATGAGTGCCGTTAGGATTAAAATAAAAGACTTTTATGACATTAAACTTGCGTTTGTTCTCTGAATATGTGAACAAAACGTGAAGAAATAAATATCCCAAACATATGTGTGAACAAACCTCTTTTGAAAATCGTTTAAATCAGGATTTTGGTCCTTGGTGTCAGTCTTTGGCTGTTTTTTTGTTTGTTTATCTTTTGTGTTAATACTGTGTGTTACCTGGTGCTTTGCAGTGTTAAAGCTGTCAATCGGAGTCTACACCTCTGCATTTGGAAAGTTAGTTTGTTAGAATATTTTTTTGTCATTTTTTAAACTTTTTTTGGTTGTTTTTCTATTTTTTTTTCTAAAAAATAACAAATATTTAACAAACGTTCAGTAATGTGCATGCACTGTCTGTAACTATTCCAAAAAAACCCCCCGTTATGGCCGCTTTTGTGAAAATGTGGTGAGAAGGAGAAAAAGAAAAGTTGGTTTGGTGATTTTACAAGCCCCATTCCAAAGAAATGTGAAACCCAATAACGCCATCACTACATACAAAACGGTTGATGAGTTATGGCTCTAGCGACAACACAAGTATGCTAAAAAGAAGCATGCGGAAATAACCTCTGTGACAGTGCAAATACATCTATGTATGTCCCTTGTACAAAACATTTAGGTTAGCATTCCTGCGCAACATGCTAGCTCTCAGAAAAGATCTGTGTCGGACTCAAGTAGCAGCTCTGAGATATAGCTTGTGTCTTTTCTTGAGGACGAAGGGAAGTGAAACTTAAAGAACTACGAGGGGATCTACCACCTACACACAGAATAGAAAAGCAGCGTGAAAAAAAAGATAACACTTCTTTTTTTTATCTCTTTTTGTTAGAGAGAGCACGAGTCATGAAGGAGTTTGAGTTGTGACCGGGTTGAAAAACTATGCATTGTCACAATTGTCCAACACATACACAATAAATAACCATTGGTGACACCACAGGACAGAAGTCTTAAACACCATGACATCTACAGAAAAAAAAAAGAATAAGAAAACATGAAGAGATGAAAATGTTTTGAAGAGTTGAGACAGGAGAGTCTGGAGTGCAGAATGAGCTTCCTACCGACTTCTCCACACTGCCGGTGTTCGGCTCCGAGCGGCTTCTGTCGTGGCGATTTGACGGGTCTCGCCGGAGGGACGATGACTTTACTTCCTGTTTGAGAGCTTCTGTGACCCACCAAGCATGCTCGTGTGGTTTGCCGTCAGTACATCCTCCACTTGTGCAGTGGGCAAAGTTTTGTATCTCGTCCAAGAATTCTTCCTTTTATGTCCTTCAGGGAGACGGATTTGTATTTCCCAGCCCACTGACCTGGATATTATTACAAGTGAGAGGGAAATAACATTGGTTGAACAGCTGGCTCCGCTTGCAATCTGCTGCACATCTGCCCGTTTCATGGCTGTCTGTGGGCCAGAGATTCAGTCCGTTCCTTCTCCCATCTGCAGGCAGCAACGTTGCTCATCCATCCTTACGTTGGTCTGTCTTTTAGGGTGCTAAATATCTTTCTTTACAAAGAGTATTGATGAGTGCTAGCTAGTGATGTTCCCTTGGTATGCGGTTTGGTAAAATGACGTTGATTAGTCTCATGTACCAGAGAGGAAATAAGCATTAATTCAAGGATGGAAAATGAAAAACATTTAAAAATGGGGAGGTTAGATATACTACGGTCACGGGTGTCTCTGCTCTGTCGCTTAATATTTACAGGAAAAAATAGCAATAATGACAACAACATCAACAACAACGGGCACGACGAGAAAATGGACAACAAGAATAGCAAGTGTAACGATAAAAGGATGTCAATATTTAAATTCATTCATTCAAAACAAAGAATATCTTTGTGTTTCTGTAAAGTTATGGCAAGTCAATATGACCCGATTATGGACCTCCTCCTTCTATGACCACGCTGCAGGATAGACAGAAGCATCGCCATCTCTCTCCGTTAGCCACGTTAGCTTAGCATCTTTGCAAGGCATCGTAGACAGTCATGCTGTTCGTGGGGTTGAGGGCTGGCTGTTAAGCCCCTCCCCCCCCGCCCCGCCGGCCCTTTGCTTCCTTTCCTAACCCAATGAGTCTCTTAGCGCGGTGTGCCGTCCAGGGCAGAGGAGGACGGGGTCCCGGGGGTGGAGGAGCGAGGGGTGGCAGCAGGCGGCGTAGCAGCCGGACTCCTAGTCCCACTGCTCGGGGTGCAGGCAGAGGAGCTGACGGGAGCAGGGGTCTCTGATCCCGGCACGCCTCCCTGCTGTTGGCTGGCCTGCTGCTGCTGCTGCTGGGCCTGGAGGGTCTGACCGCAGACATGGTGGTGCTTCTCCCAATCCTTATGCTGGCAGAAGGAGCCGCAGTAGCGCGCCGTGTTGCAACCGCTGCACGTCTCACTGGCTTTGCGGCCACAGTTCCAGCAGCTCTGACAGACAGAAAGACGTACAGTTAACTAACATGAAAATGATACAGCAGGAGAGTTTTACAACCCAGACATTCGACCACTTGACCTCGTGTACCTTTTGATAGATAAACTCTAATTGGGACCCCTTGGGAGTGCACTTTATGCTCGTTAGTGCACTTTATGCTTAATATATCTTTTTTTTTTTTACTTTTTTAATATTTAAAATGTTTAACTTTATTCCCTTATTTTATACTAACCCATAGCCTTATTCTACTGACCCATTGCATTAGCATTTCATTTTACTTTATTTTATTACTTGTGCACTGCTGTCTTGTCTATTGTCACATTGTCTACTGTCGCGCACCAACCGCCAAGACGAATTCCTTGTATGTTTGGCATATTTTGGTAATAAATGTTTCCTGATTCCTGATTGTTTGTTTCATTCCATGCATAATGCACCATCATGTGCTGGTGATATAAAAAGCCCCAGTGCGACAGCATTAACACGAGTAGTCTCTCCTTTTACAACACTTGTACTTAAACAACACTGCCTAAAACAAAACCACAGGCAGATGAAAAACAGCTTTCATCACACTTGAGGCCTCTTATAAGTCCTAGAAACGGCAGGGAGAGTATGTGGGGCCGGCTGCATATCAACAGGAAACACTAGAACAAAGTTACAAACGGCCGGGGAGATTTTACCTCTCGGGCACTTCGTTCTCATAAACATCACTCCTGCAATTAATGACAGATGTGAAACATATTTCCGTCTCCCTAACTGATTAAACACCAAGGTCTGTAATGGTGATTAGCAAAGGAAAGCTCCTTCCCTTATTCTCTCTCAGCTGAGCTGGTAACACATTTCTAAACATGCCGGCTGCTCTGAAACAAATGGAAGATATGAGACGTAGACGCTCGATTGACCTTGTTTCCTTCTGGAAAAAAATGAAATAACGTCTATTTGCCGGCTAGCTGCGAATAATCAGAAACCTCTTTGATATTTGAAAGTCAAATACACACGATTGGCTTTCATTAATGCAACAATAAAGTCAACAGAAACAAGAGGATGGCGGTGACAGTTTTCATGACGTCTTGGTCTACATGTCGGAGTGCCTCCGTGTGGTCCTACCTCACTGGAGTCCTCCTGCTGGTTGATTATGGAGAGCGCGTCCTCGGCCGCCTGCCGCTTAGCCTCGGCCACCGTGCGCTCCATCTTGGCCCGCTCGGTGCTGATCATCTCGTGAGCCTTGCGCTCCGCCTCTGAGACGGCCTTCTGCAGCTCGGTCACAGCCTGCCGCTTCACCTCATTCACAGCCTCTTCTGGAAAGAGTGTGGACACAGAGGAAGTCAAGCCTCCCGTACCTGCAATGTAGTGTGCATTGGATCATCCTGCTGTTGGGAGTTCAACGAGCACACTGATGTTCTTACTTTGGTTTAGGAAACAACATTTACTATTTGTTATTATTGTTCACATTTCATGACAGTTTTCTGAAACGATTGAAAAGATTTGGACTTCTGACATATCGATGGTGAAACCGTTTTACCGCTCTACGTCTGGAGGACGTTTATTAGGACAAAGACATGGCTTGAAGTTAAATGAGGAGGAGATTTGTAATCACCCGGGAAAACACCAAAATGAACCAGACATTAATTCTTAAATGTGTAAAATGTGTGAGCGGTGACAGGAGCCTGTTTAATAACTTAATAAAAGGTCATCTGATGCTCATCTAATTGTGATGTTTTAATTAAAATATGTTGAAAGAACAGCTTTTGACGATGAGCAAACCCAAACGATATTTTTCCTACTGACATCCACAATGTAACAGCACGGGCCAATTAATTCTGGGTAATCAGTCAGAAAATATACTTTTGAGATGGAGCAATGTGTTATTTGGCACTTGTTTTATGAAATGAATGTGCTTGCCGCACTGGTGTTAAGCAGTGGAATTCTCACTGAACGTCAAAGCAAACGGAGGGCTTTTTTGTTTGCTCCCATCAAGCCGTAACTTGACTAATTGTGTATGCAAATCAGGCAATTTATATTTAAATTATGCATTTCTATTGTGATCCCAGAGGCCCATGTGGTGAGGGAAGTGGGAAGCCGGTAAGACACCGAGCAAGGTGCTTGAATATTTATCACCAACTGTAAACATTTTTTTTCCCCATTTCTAACAGATGTATTCACCTCCAAACTCCATTGTGTTAAAAATCCTATTTTGCAATCCTCCCTCGGTCACATTTAAACCAGTCTCTCCTCAGCCAGAATATATGCGACTGAAGTGAAAAAGAAATAGGGAGAAGAATGCAGAGAATGAAAAGTAGAAGGTACCATTTATCCTCCAGACAAAAGATAAATACAGCTTCATGTCCGACGAATACGCTTTCACTTTGCTTAATTTCCTTTGTAGACATTACACCTGTAATACAAATGTAAAATCTGTATTCAATAACCGACTGAGTGTGTGCTTTTCTACAGACAGACATTATCTTTCCATGGTAATCGAGCTAAATCTTCAAACAAGGGTGGTTTTGTCTTTAACCTACTGTGCTGCCTGAAGTCATGGAAATTGCCCCGGTGCAGCGTGATATACGCCTCGCGCACGGAATTGTGATTACACACCAAATGCCGTAGATGGAAGATCGATCAAAGCTGGCGAGGGGAGGACTGGAGAGCGGGCAGAGTCCCAATGGTGATACTCAATTCAATTTAAATGCATATTACTTGTTCCGAGTATCTCACACATCATGCTCGGTCAAGCAAGGGGACAATTTATTTTCTCCAAGGGGTTTAAAAAGCAGATATACTGTATCGCTGACGAATACAAAGTGGATTCCTCAACTAGTGAGCCCTCAATGGAATACTCTTTCGGTTTTTCAGGACAGCGATAATGGTGATTGCAGCTGAACTTGAGATTTTTAAGAATGTTGTTTGTGTAAACTTACATTGTAACGGCAACTACTGAAGGCTGTCAAAGCAACCGATTGGTTTAAATACTTAAGCACAAATTTACCCGTAATTTAACAATCGCTAAGGCGATTACAGACGCTAGAAGATACCAACTCTTTGCAAAGCAGTATCCGCACAACCACCACAACAGCTGGCAAAGCTACTCGTGTCCTTATTTGACTGGTGCAATAAAGTCGTTTTACAACCTTACATCTTATTTGTAGAGTGTGGTGCCGGTGGAGCGGTTCTTTTTTATTAACTTCACTAATGTATCAAATATAAATCATTTAAAAAAGATAATATAAAAGAGCAGCTTGACACATTATTATTACTCGTCTTCACAGCCAGCAGACTACACAGGCGTGAGACGAGGGGGGGCGGGGCCGAAGGAGCGCCTCCCCTCCTCTTATTCATCCAGGAGGAAAACATGGACTTGATTTCCAAAAAGCAAAATGTCTTAAAAAAAACTGATAAAGGAGGAGAGAGACAGTGTGTGTGTGCGTGTGTGTGTGTGTGTGTGTGTGTGTGTGTTATAATGGCAGGCAGGAAAGTCTGCTCACCGGCTTTCTTCCAGATCTCTTCAGGCACGTATCCAGACACGGGCCGATGCAACAGCTCCCTGTGAATCTCTGGGGAGACACGAACACACGGTCGTGGTAAATAAGGAGCAACCAATGTGTCGCACGACACGGCGCAAAAGATTGTAGATATGGCCTCAGTGGTTTGTAACCCGTTGGTTATCTTGATATTTCAGGCATCGTTAAAAACAAATCATCCGCCTTATTTTTTTCCTAATTTAATAAACGCTTGAGAAGTGAAATGGCTACGGTTGAATATATTTCCAAACTTACTGTCATCCGTATAATCATGATACATTAAACAGTAGAGGACCTAGAATACACCCACCAATATCAACCATGAAGCCATAAATCTGCCAGAGAAGAAAAAGGTTTTTGTCACTTTCATGTGGGACGCAAACCTGCTGTGGAGCAACGGGAGGTTCTAGATCAGCTCCTTTAAAACTAGACTGCATCACGTCTTTTTTTAAAATAAGAATGACCTCGTCCTTTAATAGCTTTAGTAGTTGGGCCTCCTACCCGGCGTTGCGTTCTCCTGTGCCGCCGGGCTCTGCTGCCTCGACTGCCCACCGGCGGCGCCCTTCTTCAGCTCTTCAGCGTCGCTGTATCGCCGGATCCAGTAGTTGAGCTCCTCGCGGTCGGCCTCCTGGCAGCGCCGCAGTACCGTCAGCGAGCGCCTCGTCTTCTCCACCATGTCCATGATGCAGTTCAGCAGCTGTGGGGGGGACGGGGAGCGGAAAAGGCGCTGAGTTTACACATAGACTTGAAGGGATTGATTTCGTTCCAAAAAAAGGGCGGAGGCGCAGGTTTTTTCATTGAAGCCAACACCTGTGATTTTATTTTAGAAGGTGTCTCATTGTTCTATTTACAGGTGTCGCGGCGTTCGATGGAGAAACACTTGACACACTCTCACCCTTGAAAGGTCACACCTCTCCACGTGACCCCAGAATATCTTTGTGTTCACATGACGTCATTTAGCAGCTCAATTTTCACAGAAAAGTGAGGTGAGCATCACAAAGGTTACACTGAATGCATTTCATGTAGTGCACATTGGACTTGATTTACATCTCGACATCGCAACAACCTTTAAATTACACATTATTTGCTCTGCAAGTAAACACATAAAACATTATATTGGATAAACATTTGGGTAATTGTCTCTATATCACCCAAAACACTTATTTTGTGAATAGCAATGTGTCTTACAATACAATGTGCTACGGCACTGAAATTTAAATTTAGATAAGATTAGACAAGATTGTTATTCGAGGTAAAGTAATAAAAAAAGGTTATTACTTTTCTTACATGGTCAAGGTGTTTCCACTCCTCTGCCCACTCTCTGTCTGTCAGCCTGTGGTCAATCACCTCCTCCTGCCTGGTCCCTGCATGCATACCTGCAAATAACAAGACGGACAGAGTCCCGTCAGTGTGGTACATATGCGACATTACTTCATCACTCCCATCCATTTAGAAACTCTCTCTCCGTCCATTTCTTTCTTCTCCTCCTGTCCTCCCCCTTTCTGTCGTCACATCTCTGAGGGACACGGGCAGGACGCAAAAGACGGAGCTTCCAGTCCAATAAAAGTCCATTAAAAGGCGAGACACGGTAAATGTCTCTCCTATTTTTAGAACAGAGCCAACATTGTCATTACAGCCTCATCAAGGCTCGGCTCGCTACGCGCAGAGAAATGTCTCTAATTTGACGGCGCCGTGGCTAAAAAGCTCCTGCTGTGCGCTTGTTCATCTCACTTCAGTCAGCCATCAGGTCACAGCGGCCTCAGCGTCTCCGAGGCAGCAGGATGGCCATGTGGTCGGAGAGACTGTTTGTCAGTCTGTTGGACCAACAAGTATCCACCCGGGTGAGGTGGACACTGACTGATTACCAGTATTGTTAGAATGGACGCAGATAGCAGATTACGATCTGTAATCTGTAGTATATGAAGAACTGAGCAAATTACGTAAAAATGATGCAACTGTTGTCACATTTTAAATTTGTATCTGAAATCCTCTTAATCTTCCTATTGGTGAACTGTGAACGCTTTGGCAACGTGCCGTGTAATGGAGGTGTTTTTAGGTCTCAAAATCCCAAACTTATGGACACACAACCGTCCCCGTGTCCTCACCAATGGGCCTGGCTCTCTCCCGGATCTCCCGATGGTTGGAGGCCGGGTGCCTGTAGGTGTCACGGTAGTGGTGGGCGATGGCCATGTCGTCCAGTCGGTAGTGCTGCGGGGGAAGCGGGCCCGGGTGGGGCAGGCCGTTGGGTTGGTATGAGAGCCCATTGGATGGGCTGAAGCGCTGGGCGGGGCTTATGGTGCAGGGCCGCTTGCTGGGGTGAACGTCCGGGTGGAGGGCGCCGTCTCTCTCGAAGCCGTTCTCTTTGGTTCTGTGTGAAAGAAGAAAGAAATTGATTATGAGTATTAATATTTGTATATTTGTGGCAAAAGTGGAGTGGACACAGGAAAACTCATTGGTATGTTATTAATTTCACACAAAAGCCAAACTTGAAACATGTCATCACCACGTCTCTTCCGCCCCTTTGTAACGCACTAAATGCTTGAGTTGACGTGCTAACGCACAACTGTTCAGCCATTCATACAAACACACTCACACAAACGTGTACACGAGAACTAAAGCAGCTTCAATGGGGTCAGGTGAAGTTTTGTGGGGCTGCTTCCAAAGGTGAATGTGGCCAGCTGTGTTTGTGTGTACGCGCATTGTTGCGTGTGTGTGTCTGTGTTCTCAGCTTTGTCAGTTCACAGTTAAATCTTGACTGAACCTCCCCCCCACCATCCGCCCTCCCCCACTTTCCTCTCGCTCTCCTCCTCTTCCTCCTCATCCCTCTCTCCGGTGAACAGATTGAACTTCTTAATGAGCTGTTTTTATGGGCTCCTAATGCTCATCCACAGCTCTCCATATGCTCTTTCCCTCCATCCGCCCGTCTCTCGCTGCCTCCCTCGACTCATCCATCCATTCCCCCCCCCCCCCCCCCCCCACAACACTCTTTTCTCCCCGGCCTTCCTGCTGCAACAATGTTTATATCAGGCAGGGCGGCACGCACGTTCACAGTTGCATGTGCAATTGTTATTGACCAGAGATACATACTGCACGCGCATGTCACTGTCCGACAATTTTAATACTTGTATTTATATGTTACTTATAAAAAAGTGTACATTATTAAATGTCAGACAGACCCACATGTCACAAGTGAATGCTAAGGTCAAATTATTAAACAGTATCCCATAATGAGTGACAATAATTCTCAAGGGCTTTTAATTTCTAATGTTTTAGATTATATTTAAGTAAAGCCTGCCTGTTTTATTATTCATCTGTTAATTTTTTTATTTTATTTAAAATATTTCAGGGGGTGTAATTCCTTCACTTGCATGGAAGGCTTTAATTGCGAAACGCTGTATTTAGTGTTGACAAAAGTAGAATACACTTCAATAGTGAGTGCAAATACCGTTTTAATATGGACTTTGCTGAATAATAACAGTATAAATCATATAAATGTTATCTTTGGTTATGGTCATATGTTTCTTGGTCAGATTCTTGTAAACCACCTTTTTTATCAGGATGCATTGACAGCACTTTTTTTCCACGATTAAAGATTCAAATTTCAAATTCAAATTTTCTGACGCAGCGCTCTAATAAGCGGCATCCCAATGCAGAGGTAAGCAAAAACCAGAGGTGCTTAGCCAGCTGAATTGGTGCTGGAACCTCATCTGTAAGTGTTATCAGCCCATCTCCCAGGGCGCACACACACACACACACACACACACTCAGAGGTGCATATACGTATGTAACAATACTAACCCTCCACTGGATAGAGAATAATGCACACAGATATTCACACAAACAGCTTTTCTTTCACTGAATACAGATGCTTACTTACTTTTTCTTTCTCTCCATATGTTTCTCTCTCTCTATCTCTCTCTCTATCACACACACACACACACACACACACACACACACACACACACACACACACACACACACACACACACACACACACACACACACACACACACACACACACACACACACACAGCTTCACCTCAGAGCTCACTCCCATGAGCACCAGACGGCCTGCAAATATGCAGGTATTACAGAAAAGGTCTGCCTATCCCACTGTTTGGGGAAAAGAGGTGAAAATTATTAATTTTGCTTTTGGCATTTTTGTCCCTCAGCAAAAATAAAAAGCACATTTTCCTCTCTCCTGCCTGCACTCAAAATGATGGACCACAGGGGAATTACTCTTCATTTCAAAAGACCATGAACACATTGTCCTTAGAGCCCGGGGACAATGGAAGAATATGTGTATGGGTCTAGGAATAGCAAAGTTTGATCGGCCAATTCCCTTTAAGGGGCCAATTTGGGGGGGAAATGTATTCAAATCTATATACTATGTAGATCTACCAAAAGAAGTATATGTGCTGGGAAATTAGCCACTGTCTGACAGATGCAGCGTGTTCTTGCTGCTCGGGGGGCTGTTGGAGGGATGACTGGAGGTTTTTAACGGTGTAAGCCGGGTCTAATTCTCCCATCCCTTCCCCTCCTCCGTTCCGGACCATTAAGAGCAAGAGCCGGGAGCTAAAACGTCCAGCGGAGCACGTCACGAGGCCCGTGGCACACTGACAGACACTTCCCATGCGCACATTAACACATCACACTATTGCCCTGCGTTGGCTCAGCTGGTTTCTGTCGAGCGTTGTGTGGGTCTGTGGATGAAGCAGGCAGACTCAAAGGGATTCATGCATGAGATCAAACAATAGGGGGGGGAAAAAAAAAGCTCCGGCTGCTTTAATGTTTGGAGCCGGAACATTTCGAGACTAGATTAGTCCCATACCGTCAGAACAGCGCCGTGACTTTGTGACACACCCACCTGTCTGGCGTCCTCCTCTTGCCGTTCTCGTTAACGTCCAGCAGGAGTTCAGAGGAGTCCACCGGGGAGGTGGTGCTGGTGTCCAGGAGCAGCTGCTCGTGCTGGGCCAGGTACTGAGCCGGGTTCTGCTTGGCCAACCTGGCGCAGTGCAGCAGCTCCCTCTGAAGGAGCGGCAGGTTGGCCTGGAGGAGGAAATGTCACCGTGTTACCGGAGGAAATGTTTTGCTTTTCAGGATGTTTTAGACAACGCTGACAACCATTTCTTGCAGAGATGAAAAAGTATAAACATCACGTTTGTCTTTTTGCATGTTAAAGAAGAGTCTCTCTGTCACTCCCTCACTGGTTTTTAAAGTGCTCTACGTTACTTTTTGGGTTCATTTGGAAATTGATCACATTGATAAATTCAGAGCTGAAGTATTTTTACTCTACTGTCTTAAATAGATATATGCTTTTGTTGAAAAATTATAATATTGAAAATTCAGAACTGGATAAAATAATAAAATCACTTTTCAATTCTTGAAAGTCAAGAATAAGGAGGAATAAGGAGTTGGAACATACATGTTGTAGTCTAAATATAAATCAATATAAAGTATAAACATAATACCACATAACTAGATTACAACAAAGATACAGTGAACCAGACTGATGCTTCTGTTTGATCTGAAACAAAAATGTTGTATTTTCATACCAAAAGCATCATTTTGGTACAACAGAGGTCCTCGTTTGCTCATCACCACCGAACCAGCAGCACTTCCTGTGACTCTGAGTGCATTAACACCCAAAAGGTTTCTCCTTTAATGTAAAGCAACAGACGCTATTTCCACTATCTCTCTGACATAACAAGGGGGCTTTGCTTTCCCGGGTGGAGTTACCGGCTCATGCAGGTATGTGCGCGCCGACTTCAAAGACATCTGATGGGCGACATTTTGAAGCAAGAAGATGAAAGTGTTTCGTCAGGCTGGTACAGAATGAGAGAGGGGACGATGTTGGCGAAGGTGCATCACATCTTTTTAAGTTCTGGGTCTGTTCCGTTTTGTTTTGTCCTCAATAACATCATCTCTCTCCTCAAGTCTCATGCGCGGTTGATTCCTTTCCTTATTTTTTTTCTTGTTTTATAATCTAAAGGCTTTTCCTTTGTCCTTTTCATTTCTCTTGTCCTAGATTAGCTCACAAATTTGCGTCTGTTTCTTTGACCATTCATAACAACTGCATACAGAAATAGTAAACCGGCATGATTTGTTTAGCGGGAATTATGTTTCATAATGATACAACATCCCTCTCCAGCAGTTGGCTGCAGTGATTTAAATGCCAAGCGCTGGCCTTCGCTTTACCTGCTCGAGTTAATGGTCCGTTAATAGTTTATGATCGTAATTACCCTCTGAAAAAAAAGCATAAAATAGATTGCTTCGACCCTGGTGAACTCATCTTTCATTAATTAGAGGTCATCCTAATTGCCAGAGATGCGGGATTCATTAACAAAAAGTCAGTCAAGACTTGCAGGCCATTGAAGAGACTGGATCATTTTTCACACGTGACTAAGTGCGGCGCTTCGCTTTCGTTACGGCAACCAACATCTGCACTGGAGGAAAAGGAAAATTTCAAGTAGTATTCAGCGGTCACAGCTAAAATCCGTCCAGGATGATTTATGGTGAGAATACTGGATTCGTCATTTTGTCAAACGATGCCAAGAAAACTATTCAGAATATGCCACATTCAGGATATGCTGCACTTCATCAACTCTCTGCCTCTGTGTAATTTGCAGGAGAATCTCGGAGACGTCTTTATCGTCATATTTCAATTATTTCCTGTCACCACTTTCTCTCTCTTTAGTTAAATGTGTTTACGCCTCGTTCTCAAAGCACTACTCTAACTTCATCACGACGCAAGGAAAACAAAACACTTGACAGGAAGAGAAACACTGAAACTCTGTAAGCCTGTTGTCTTGTGTTGCGGGCGACCCGCCAGCTCATCACGTCACCGGCGCTGTGTGGTTTATGATTGCCTCCTTCCAGTAAAAAGCCCCCACCAATGTGTGGTGCAGTATTAAGGGACGGGGAAATGATTTGAGTGGGTTTGGGTGGAGGTGAGGGAATTGGAGGGGTCGACTCGGCGTAACATTAACGTAATGAAAAACTCGGAGCCTTGACGTCCATTGTTGCAGTTGTGTGCGTCAACGCACCTATAAAAAAAAAAAAAAAAACCCCACTACTACACCTCTGAATGATTTCTGCTACCATATGGTGGCTGGCATTAAAGGCTCTGCAGTGGCAAGACACTAAAATTAGACTGGGGAGAGAGAGAGAGGGAAGGAGCAGCGTCGGGAGAAAAGAGTTGCATCTTTGATTCCACAGCCTTCCCGGTGATACACTAACCATCTGGCGAGGACAAGGGGAAGGGAAGGAGGGACTGGAGGATGGATGGGTGGGGGACAGCAAAGGGATGAAGATATGGAGGGAGAGCAAAACAAGAAGGTGAGGCAAAGCAGGGAAATGCATACAACTACAAAAAGGGAGTGACGTGAAAGAGGACACAAGGAGGACACAAAGTCCCCGTCGGTGTTGTTAACGGCCATTCTAGTGGCACTGACGGCACATCCACTCAGGGCCGCAGTGTGAGGAAAAAGTATGCAGATTGTCTCAGAATAGGATTGAGGGGGGAAGAGGAAGAACTGAGAAAAAACAAAGTGGGAAAGAAAACAGGAGAATAGATAGAAACAAATTAGCTTTGTGCTCCCTATCGCTCAGTTTCACACTGATATTGATCTCTGCTTCCCCTACAACCCACAACATGATCTAAACTGCTGCGCAGTGAATCCCTCAATATGAGCCGAGTCCCATTCTTCATTTCTGACTACCAAAAACAAATCATACCGGCGACGTGAGAAATGGGGTAAAAAAAAGGCCCGACTGGATACTTAAAGGAATGCTCCTCCCTTAAGTTACATTACAGCAACGAACCAAGGTGAAAAGCCTTTGGTCACTTACAAGACTGAGATCAGCCAATTGTCAAAAGTAGTGACTCAAGAGATAAAAAAAAAGATGACGTGAGATACAGAATGACAGCAACTTTATTTAGTAAAATTGCAGAGACATTGAGGAAGGAGAAATGAAGGAAATGGATAGTTATACGAAAGATTTAAAGAGAGAATAAGTATGCACATCTGGATCTGGGCTGGCAAAAAAATCCCTGATTGGGTCGATCAGTCAGGGAATAAGGCAAACCTTCTTGTAGCAAATGCATATTTAAACATCTACCTTCAGAAAGGGGATGACAAAAGGTCGTAGAGGGAAGTTGGTTGCTTCTTGGAGCTTGGAGTGGAATTCTTCGATGGTTAGGGTGGAATTCTGGAGGAGAGAAGGATACAAAGAGAAAACACATGAATCCATGTGGAAGGCATTACGTGTTATATTACTTATTGGTAGCTGAGCTACAGTATATCCTGGCCTGGAGTGAATGTTTCAGGCTCTGTAACATGAAGCATATGGGCTGCAGTGAAAAAAAACAACACAAAAAGACACACATCTTCAATTAACAAAACAAATACACATGCAGCCCGAATCAACCGAAATATGCTGCTTGAGGAATAGGTGTGCTTCATTGTTCTATATAAAAAAAATGGCTCATTTAAAAAAACACCCCAGTCTGTAACTCACATTAATGATGTGACACTATTTTAAATCTCCAACACAAACTACTCCGACGATGCAGAGCAGAGAGTGAGAGTGAAGGAGAGGGAGAAAGACGAGAGCATCCACATGGGAGGAAGTGTCTGCTTCATAACAAGCATTAATACAAACAAAGGGGGGGGGAAAGCAAAAGAACCAAGCGAGACGAAGAAAAAACAATTGAAAAAAGGCAGCAAATATTATTTTTCTTCTCCAACACTCTCTGCGTTATTTCCCAGACCTGAATTTTGTTACATTCAGCCTTACATCTGTTCAACCAGATTGCGTAGGGGCTGTTCTTGACAGCTAGTGAAACCTCCCGAGTCTCCCTCTCCCCCTCACCCCCCCAGCACACAACTAGCTAATTAACGGTGTCACTCCTTTCAATAAGGCAAGGGGAGGGACAGAGACACAGCGAGAGCAGGAGAGGGAGAGAAGTATGTGGGGGGGGGGGTTCGTGAGCCAGACCCACACAGGAGAGGCATGTGCACGTGTGCACGTGCAGACGGTGAGAATAATAAACAGAGTTAAGCCAAAAGGAGGCTATGCTCTCTGAGGCTAATTAAAAGAAGAAGAAAAAAAATCCTCCCTCCACATCCTCCGCCTCCTGCTTTCTGCACGACATACAATCACTATTTCTGTACTCCCCCTGCTCGTTGAGGCAATTCTTCTCAGATCACACAGACGTGTGGTAAATCTTTGGATCTGCGCGTGTATTTCAAACTGCCTTCATATAGTGATACTACGTTGGAGAGAAAAACATCTGTCTATGAAACCTCTGTCGGATGAATGCAGTTTGATGTTTTTTTTAACAACAAGGTTCACAAGTGGCAATTTATCAGTGATGCTTAAATTTGTGCAGCCGCTGAAAGCTGTTAGCATATTTTCTATTAGCTACATAAAAGTGTTGTATTTCTATTAAGTGAATGTCCAAACGTACGGCTTTGTTCGGAGGCCTTGTGTCTGAAGTCTGAAGGCAGAGAATCACAAATCACCGCGTCTATTTTACGCTTTACGGCTGACGGACCAGATGGGTGAGGTTTCTAACATGAGAGGATAAAACCAGGGGAATCGTTGCAACAACTTGCGAGGAATCACTCTCAAACATCCCGCTAATGGATTCCCATCAGTCCCGCTGACAGTGGTCCCCCGGCGTGGACCTCCACTCCGTGACCCCTTTTGTCCCCTCGCTCCATTACCCGGCAGCCACTCACCACAAGTCCGAGCACTAACGTGCGGACCCGCTCGCCGATTTCAGGCGAGATGTCGTTGCCAAACTGCTGTAGAGTTGTGAGGAAGCGCTTGAGCTTGCTGAGCTGCCGGGCGCCGCAGGCCGGCGGCAGCTGCTGGTTGGCCAGTGAGGACGAGGACGAGGAGCTCGGACCGTTGCTGTAGCCGTTGGGAGGAGACGTGGCGCCGTTGAGCGCCGTGGGAGAGTGGCTGCTGCCATTGGTTACTGTTTGAGACAAAAAAACAAAAAAATGGGTGTCAAAAGAAAGATGCATTCCATCTACTCTATTCATTCTCTCTACATGCAGATGACCAAATAAATGAGCTGAAAATATTGGCTTTTACCTTGAACAATCACACAAACATCTAATACCAACGCAGGGATTTTGAATGATTTACATTCTCCTGAAAACATTCCCCCCTCCTCAACATTTGTTTGCAATCACCGCGCGCTCGTTTGATCCTTTGCGGCGTCTCATAAAGAACATATTTCTGCATTGGGAAGCACACTTCCTCTCCCCCCCCCCCCCCCCGCAACACCCAAACTCGGAAAGGAGTTTTAACAAGCAGGGGACAGTGCGACCCCCCCTCCTCCCCCTTCCCACACCTCCCCACCCCGTCGCACCAGAGCACGGGAGCAGTGTGTAGTTGTGTGTGTGTTGGGCGGGTGGTCGGCGTACAAAGAGATACAAGGCGGCATAAAGCTTTCTCACTAATGAGATTAGCTTTTGACGAGCGATCCCCTCACTCCCCCTCTGGCTGCCGTCCAAAGCCGCCACTGTAAAGAGGGGAGGGAGACGAGACACTCAAACTGCATCTGGTAACAATTACGTCGGGTGGAAATCAAAGCATACTGCTTTGTTAGAAACCTTCGGCATGCGTAATGAGAGAGCCGGGCCTTTCCTCCCTCGCTGCACGGAAGCCCCCATGTTAATTGCGGAGAGGGTGCGTTTGCAACAGAAAGAGAGAGAGGGGGGGAGAAAGTAAATGCTGAAGATGGAGCAAGGGGAGCAGGGAGGGGGGTTGGTGATTGAAAGAGAAGAAAATAAGGCCTCTGGAGCAGAGAACCAGCACTACAGACGCAGAGTTGAGCACTCTGAGCATTTTTGAACCGCAAAGCCTTTGATTCTTTGATTCTAGTGCTCTTCAAGCGAGTGGTTAAGTGTGTTCTTCTAAGTGAATACTAGGGTGTAATTTGCTCGTCATGGGCTGTGCGAGCGTCGTGGCGAAGCTCCAGGGCTCGGTAAGCTCGGGTGTTAATGAACTTGTTTGTTTGGAATGGCTGCGATTTGGGGAGGGCTCCATTCAGCTTGTTACGGACGTCTCATGGTGCTGATTTGGGTCATACTGCGACCTCTGCTTCCTTCGGCTGCAGCGTGCCGCTGTGTATGTTTTCCTATAGGTGACTTAAAGGTACAATTGGAAGGATTTGGAGGCATTTAGCATCTGCAAGACTGCGGTGACTTGGGCCGCAGAGTGCGAAACCACGTGAATGCGGTTCACCTGGTGGTCCGGCAGTTTTTTACTTGCGGTTTAAGTTAACTTTGTTCTCGCAAGCGCTTTTCGGAGCCTTCAGGTAACTTAACAACACAAAGGGCCCTTGCTAGAGCTGACAACTGCTACGAAATGAGAATCAATTTCAAGCAATTATACGCTGATAAAAACATAGTTGTGAATATGATATTCCATTTCTGCTAAAATATTCCCCCCGAAATGCTGCCCACTCTACACCTTGAAGGAGGAATTATACTTGTGCATCCAGTGTGCAACTCATGTTCACCTTCACTACAGCCAACACTGTATATTAGGATGCACCGACCCAACTCCTCCAATTCTCCCAATATCAATGCCACTACACCATCGGTGCATTTGCTGAGACCAAGTACTGATCTGATACTATGACGGTGCTCTCCTCTCCCAAATTTAAAATGTCAATACTACACATGACACCTCGGACGCAAAGCCAGATAAAAACCCCATAACCACTTAACCCACAACAAATAAAGCTGGCTTCACTCACATGTGGTGGGCGTGTAGGAGCTATTACGGGGAGCTCCTTGCGTGCTGGGGGGAGGAGGCATGGTGGGGGGCGTCAACCTGGACTGTGTCTTGACGTCCGCAGGTGAGTCGGGCATGGTGGAGCGCTTCCCAGAGCGATCTGTGGGAAGACAAAGTGAAAGGTTGCAATGACAATCCCCGAAACACCGCTGCCGACTAGACGGGATATAACAAAGACCTGTGTAGACCTGTGGGAATAAACAGCAGCAGGATTTAATCTGATAAGAAAGCACCTGTGAGGGGGTGTCAGAGGAGAATAGTCACGTGTCCATGATGACGTGATGCAGATGCTCAGGCTGCCGCATGAGGAATGAGAGGGTGAGAGAGAGAGGAGACGCTCACACGAGAGAGGAGAGAGAGAGGAGCGTGAATCCGCCGCAGGTACGCGTGCATTCCACCACCATCTGTGCCGTCCCGCATGGCCGCTTTACCCAGTAGCCCCCCGCCCCCTCTCCCTGCTAACGGCTGCAGTGCTCATTACACACATACACACACACACACACACACACACACACACACACACACACACACACACACACACACACACACACACACACACACACACACGTGCAGCCCGTGTGCTCATATCTCTGGATACTAGATTGGTACCAACCGGAACAATAGACTAATTTAAGGTGACAAATATGCAGCAAAAACAAGCTGATCTGAAAGGTTTGTTTTTACATCTCACACTACCTCGAGGGGATTCCGTAGATAAGATTTAATCAAATCATTTTCTCGTTGCTGTCATTCATTCTACAATGTTATGCTTTGTATAGCTGTGTATAGATTGTATAAATTACAAGTCTTCCAATGCACGTTTTAACTAGACAGACTCCATGTGTCAACAAGGACCATGTTATTTTGGTCCCTAACAGAAGATTTGAGTTATTTATACGTCTGCTGCGATAATAATCCACCAGAAAGCCACACAGATTGGCTTGCATAAGAGTCAGGTACCATGTTAGCTGAAACTGAAGCAACACTTTTAATACGTGCAGTCAGGCAATTGCGGGCCCCTTAGTCCTCATTACAGCCACCAGATGGCAACGCACACGAACAAACTACATCGTAAATATGAGGAAACATCATAATGCACCGTGGGCCGATCCCATTCATCTGTCTCTTTAGAATTGCACTCTTTTATCAACTCGTAATACTATTATAATAATAATAATAACTATTTCAATCCTTTAGGGGGATTTATGCTATAGGTAATGTAGCCATATGGAAATAAATTGTGTTTTAATTTAAAACTACCAGGAAAGTAAATAAGTAGGCAAACTGTAACTTGCAAACAATGAAGTCAAAGAGTAGGAGAAGACATGCTGTTGCATCTGTTAATTGGATCTTCATTTTCATGGTGATGTTGCCTCAGAAGGTAAACATCCTGCCATTTTCCTTCACTGCTTGCACTAAAAATAATGAGCTATTTCTTGGGTATTTGGGTGTTATTTTAATGGGGCGAGGGGATGGGAGGTTTTCTCTAAGTTTTCCTCTCAGTTTTAGTCTGCAAGTACAGAACAGACTATATGAATGTTAGTGGGAACCGACTGAAATGAAGGCAAACGACTGATGCAGGAGAGACAGGATGGCCTGAGCCTGTTAGCTAGTGGTGCACTGTGGCAAAGTATTTTAGTCACGCTAGCTAAGCTTCAGCAGGCAGGCAAGTGAGGGATGGAGATGTCACTCCATTTGTAAATAGAGAGGGCTCCATAACTCCCTTTAAAATAGTTATAGAGGACATGATGCAAATGAATGAAACAATCACAATAATATACAGTGTGAAAGCTTCATGAACAGTCACATGCACATTAATGAGTAGCTTCTTCAGGCTCTTTGCAGATAAGAACCGGGACGTACCATAGTCAAACAAGAGCCTTGAATCCTTTTAAGCAATGAAATGACTAATTTGCACCTAGCCAGTGAACTGAAATATGCTGTGAGTAAAGCATTCTCACATTCCCACACAGGTCACACGTCTTCCTGCAGCACGCTGTCACACTGACTCTGTGACTTTCAGATGGAGATCAAGACCAAAACCTCTCAGGGTCACTCAGCGGCATGAATATGTTTTGGGCTGACTCTTATTTCATTGTATTGTTATTAATTGACTCGCTATGAGACAGGTTTTATAGCTCTACATGCACAGCGTTGGCGGAAGCAAAATCAAATTTTAGTTGACTTTTTCTTGCATCGTGGGAAGCAAAATGTCAGTCTGTGTTGTAAAATTGATATGAACTCAACCTTAAACCTTGAACAAAGAAAGATTTAAATAAAATGCCACTAAAATAGAGTTTGTAAGAAAGCAGAGAATAAGGGACAGGCGGTGAATGCAGAGTCAATCTAAAGGGAGAGAGATAACAAACCTTATCTTAATAGATAACTCTTTCTCTCTCTCTCTCTCTCTCTCTCTCTCTCTCTCTCTCTCTCTCTCTCTCTCTCTCTCTCTCTATACCGACCAGGGAAGATTGAGGAAGGTTTATTTCTCCAATTTCATCCCAGTAAATCTTGACCTGAATATTTATTTTATGAACTCAGAATGTAGCAGTGTGGCTGCTGGAGCCTTGAAAATACGAGGTCATTAAAAGAAGATGTCCGGGTGACATGACCCGAGGTAATCCATCATGTTACGGTCAAACACACAGACCTGACGTGTATAATGAACCCAAGAGAAATAGAAAGAAGTCACCATATCCTGTTTCACCGGATCTCATACTTTCCATAGATCGGTGTATTGGCTCCTCTAATCGTGTGGTCATTTCTTGGCGCAATTCACATCGATCTGCTGTTAGATAATAAGGTGTCCAATTAGGGTCCATCATCTTATAATGACCTACTCTGTGAATAGTTCAGGAGAAAGATAATGCAGCAGTTGGGTGGAGATGAGAGAAACTGTCGGCCGTCAGGGAAGAAAATAAAGAATGAATTAGTATGAAATTCATGTGCACAGCAAATACGCGCGTGCACCCGGGCAATAACTCCCTCTCTCTCTCTATATAGTCCACCTCCCCAGCCAACACGGCTCCACTTACACTCGACTACATAGACGTGCACACACTTTTGTCAATTACAAAAAGCATCTTCTCTGTTTGTGATTCGATTGAGAGCAGAATAAAATCAATGTCTTCATACTAACCAACAAGGGTTGCACCCAACCATTCACTCTGCACTTATTTGAATCAATCAATAGCAAAAGTCATTTACCCAGCATTTGAAAAAAAAAAGAAAAATCCTACAGCTGGGGCATATTATTGAAAACCGCTCACACCACATAACTGTGTACCTCCCATTTTCAGCAAACACGGTATGTGTCATTTAGATGAAGAAATACCTGTGCAGATAACAGTCAGACAAAACTTCATTTTATTACAGCAAGATAGTGCGAGACGGCACAATAGCTGCTAACTCATGCATAATTCAGTTCAGAAAGCTCCACCTCAACACGCAACCTTAAACAACCTTGAAAACAAAGTCTCCTTCAGCCTAATACATCTGTTAAAAGTTAATGGCTGATCTTAATGCACACATAGCGTTCATTTATTAGCCAGTTACACATTGCAGGTCTGTGGCCGGCCGACGGACGGTACTCTGGACAGGTATTGATGTGCTGGGCTTTAATGGGAAGGGCCCATGAGTGCTTTGACTTTGCCTAACTCTCTTTACGACTTCTCAGAAGTGCTGTTGTCCAGGAATTAATGGATTGAAGAGGATGAGGACGGTTGTGGAAGAGGCATCAATGAGCTATAAAATAACAGAAGAGCCTCTGAAATGTGCGTTGACTCACCGGTGGACTCTATGACGGCAGATGTAGCAAACGTATCGATGGACAAGCTCATGGACGACCGTGATTAATGTCCCACAACAGCCACTCGCAGCGCGGTTTCACCAAGAGCGCCACGAAGGAGCTCTTAGTGACGAGTCATTATATGTATTTGGTATCATTTTGTGTCGAAGGTAATAATAACATTGATATCTGACTGAATTATGAGCTCCCACGAGGGAGGAGGTTGTATTCGCTTTGTCTACATAAAGTCGGGATTACACCGGTGCAGGAAGTGCTGCTGCAATGCTGTGTACTGAGAAACATTCTGGTATATAAACCCCTATTGCCAACTTTCATTGTCATGGACATCGTTAAGCTGGGAGCAGTTAAATCAAAGTAGGATATTCTTTTTTACGGATGTGTAAAAAAGTTGAATAGTTGATTTAAGGAAAAAAATGTACTGAAACTAATCATCTTGTGACCCTTTACCTCAAATTCTCCCTGTTGAAACAACCCTGCACATGTTAAATTACGTCTTGTAACTTCTTTAATCTTTCTACATGCATCCATTTGATAACCCTTGGACAAGAACCTGCCACTCACGAGGATGTCTTCACACTTACATCACCTGTTTGCATCGTCCATGATTACGTGGCCCTCAATGTTTGCAAACATATCTCTTTCTTTCTTCGCGTTTTTCCCCTCCCACCCGTACCATCTTTCAGCCAAGCTCAAAGAAAGTAGATTTTATCGCCCCGCTGACTTTCTGTACGCGCCTTCTCTAAGGTTACATGCAAGTTACATCACTCGCCTGAAGTCTATCTAGAAGGTACGCGGCCCCCTGAAAAAAAAGTTCAATATACTACAGAGAGGGCTTTGCCAATCCACAACTCAATGCAACATAATATCAAATCCAGACCGTGTACATTTCATCATCACGGCACGCAAAGCTGTGGGGTCGTTTCAAACTGCAATCCCCTCCCAGAGTGGGAGCAAAATCTCCTGACCTCGATGTCTTAGATCACTCAGAGGCTACAACGACTTCAAAGTCTGTCATCAGGAACCAACAATCTCAATTATTCATTCATGAGCTGCTGCTGTGCAGCTTCTATGTGACTGTTTGTGAGCGCTGCGACGGTGCAGTCGGAGACCCGGGAAAGGAGGTGATAACAGCAGCAGCAGCAGCAGCACTACTTTGCCGCTTGGGAGAACTTCACACGGGCAAAGCCCATTCTTCAAAACGCCCGTGCACTTCAATCACGCTGGGGGGATTTTTCACCCAGTGTGTTCATGTCAACCTCTGTGACGTGAACAATTTATCGTGCACTGGTGGC